TTGCAGTCAATGCTTGCCTAGGCTTTTCTCTATGATCAGTACTCCGTAAAAGATTTTCCCTTTGATCCATGCTGGCTCTGGGTTTTTCTCTAAAGTCTGTGCTATTTCGGGATTTGTCCAGTTGATCAGGATTGAGTCCAGGTCCATTTCTTTGACGTGGAGACTTCTCAATGGCAGCAATAAATTTCTTGAGGTGCTTTATATATTGGGGGTAAAGCTCAAGGTCGCAGTGATTTCCTCCTTTAATCCACAGGGGCTCATATTTTTCTTTACAAAGTTCCAAAGTTGTTTGCCATGGGAGCAATCAACTACGTCATCTGCAGTTCCCTGAAGCATACAAGCCAATGCCAAGAACCATCCAGACAAATAAGTTTCAATTCAAACACACCCCTCATCGCATATATATATGTGTGTGTGGTGTGTATATATATTTTTTTTGGGGTACAACCCTCATTGCGTCATTGTTACATGTGCATTTAACAACGAACTGTTACAAGCTTTCTGATATATTCCCTGATAGCAAGTTTGTTTAACAGGGGCAAATGCTGATTTCATGACCAGTAAATGCCCATTTAAATGCACTGAGAGAGTCACTGCTCATCAGTAAAAACACGTACCCAGGCATAGTTTTTCTTCGTCTTCTAGTGCGAACAACTTATCACATCATTTGAAAACTATAATATTTGGTAATTATAAGTTGTAACTGACAAAAATTGTAGGGTGAATAAAAACACAAAAATAGCTGCAGGGCAATAACGACATCATTAGGTATAGTATTTCCCACAGATGGCATTTAAGCTTCCACAGCATTACAGCAATGGTCATCAGTACGATCCTAATATTTGCCAGGTAATATATCCAATACATGGTTTTCGTTATCCAGCTAACAAAATGAAATGACTTAAAAAAATAAAAAAAAATAAATTTACAAAAATGTCATATGCTCTAGGCAGCAAATGCAGATTTCTCTAAGCATAACCAGTTACAGAGATTTATCAAACCAACGGTGAAGATAAAGCAAGGCCAAGGGATTTACTGCCTAGAGTACATGACATTTTTTACTACTGTTTCAAAATCATTCAGCACAGTGATACAAGTTTGGAAGAAACATGAAATAGTCCAGAAAACAGTTGCCAAAGGATTTTACTAGTGTTTTTCAAAATCAATCTTTGATAAAATATATGTGGCTTCTCCTTCCATTTGATTTTTATTGGTGTATGTGTTGTAAGGCTCTTTATCTATATGATATTTACAAACAGAAAAGACACTTTCATATCCATAGGGACATGCAAGAGAGGCAATGAATATTGCATTAAGTTCAGAAATTTTAGGTGAATTTATCTAGTGGCAAAGAATTATTTAAGAGGAAACAACACAATTTGGCACATAAATGAGGTCACAATTTACTAATCCACAATTGATGCATAAAGACACTTCCAATGTTTGGACAGTGCAAACAGCAACCTCGGATGAGCATCAGCAATGACAATGATAAAAGATATCCAAACACAACAATTACGAACCAGATTCATAACCGGAATGCCTAAAAATACTTGACAGCCGCCAGAAACAAAAAGTATATACTCACATGAATTACCAGAACAGGACAATTGACAGAGGGGATTTTATCAATATTCTGCACCAAAAGCAGCAAATCAACATTAAAATGGAGTTACAGCTAAAACTAAGAAATACTGATAAAAAATGAACGGCGTTACTGAGATTCTTAAGTTCAATGTTGAAAGAAGTCATACCTTATAAATGTCAAACCAGTATGTCCGCTTCACAGGATACATAACTCGGAGGCCAGATAAGATTGGGCTGTGGAGAATTACAGCCCTAAGGTTTGGTAAACCGGTAGCCAAATCTGTAGTAGGTCCACTGCCAACAGATTGCCCATACAGGATAATATCTTCTTCTTTTGCTCCATACTTATCCAACAGGCATTTATAAGCAGCTTCTATATCTGCATAAGTGTTCTGCTCACTTGGCTGTTTGAAAAAAATATGTTAAACTCGCCAGAAATAATGATCTGTGTTCCCCACCTTATATTTCGGAAAAGTATAATCAGAACAAAAATTGAGCATCATCTTAAACTTTTAAACAAGAGGCTGCAGGGTGCAGATGACAAAGCGATGCCTGTCCATGCGTCGGAGTTAAATCACAGTAAGTATGCCGAGTTCAAATGCTAAATCTCTCGTCGATAAGTATAAAACTTCCCAACAGTGTAAATCACAAAATAATGATCCTGCTAAGCAATGTAGAGGGGGGAACTTGGTATTTTATAATGTCCAAACATTTCATCGTCTAAACATCCAGCTAGCAGAGGAAAGCGTACCTTCCCTGAGGACTGTCCATACCCAGAATAGTCATAGCTACAGGAGAAAGGGAAATCCGATCATTCATAGGTCGCCATCGTACTACAGTTGCGCATGCATATAAGAACTCATGCATCTATAGTTCCACGCAAAGTTGAGGGCATGCATAACGGACAACACAAAAAGCTAAAAATTTGAACTGACCCCATCAGGTTGACTCGTAGGTGGACACTGAGTTCACTGAACAACTCGTACATCTGACCCAGATCAGCTGCGTTTCCGTGCGAGTAAAGCATCGTGAGCGACGCCGATGGGTTCTTGATGTAAATCGCCACGATGTTTTTCCCCCTCTTAGTGCAAAGCTTCAACACGTCTACGTTCTCCCTCAAGGCCACCCCAGTCATCGTCTGATTCCCGGTCACCTCATCAACTCCGAGAGAATACGACGGCGGATTCGGCGGGAAGAATGCGAACTTCGCCGCCATCGACGACGTCACCGCCCCCATACCTCTTGACAATATATATATATATATATATAGCAGAGCAAACCAACACTAGTTTTCAATTTCCAGTGAAGTAGGTCACACACACGGCAGGAAAAAGAGGAAATGGAAATAAAATTAAAAATCATGTAAGTTAAGATTTTGTGATCCGAACGAAAATAAAAACTTAAAGTCGGATTGAACACATACATAAGCTGGGGAAGTGGGGTAGGAAGGGGGAAATTTCTAGGGTTCAGATTAGTCTGGCAGATTGAGTAGGGAGGGGTGGGGTTGGAGAAGACGACTACAGAGGGAGGGGTTTCCGGCGTGGAAAGGGAAGGGAGCACGTGTGAAATCGCTTGGACCAGCAATTAGGTGATGGCGATGTTTATGATGTGAACAGTGACAGTTGTTCATTTCACCGACACGTGTCCCTTCGGGGTGGCTTCTCTTCACTGTGCCTACTGTCTGCCTCTCCAAAGCGCCAGCTGCGATCCAAATCCCAATTCTACCATTGCTCAAACAACTTGCCCTCAAACGGTTTTGAAATTTCGGATTAAAATAAGCATAGTGTAATTTGTTCTGAAAAAAATAAATGCTAATGCGTTTTTTTAAAACTATTTAGGTTAAAATTTTAATTATCTTTATTATATTATTTATAAATAAAAAATATTGAAGATGCGGAAAGTATTAGTTTATCATTATTTATAAATTTCAACCACTGTCACGTTAAATCAAAATGAAGTTTGCGTGAGGCGATTTCAGGTAACATACGGTCCTGCGTTTTTAGATATAGTATGATATGATTGAGGCTTGGGAAACATGGACAGTGACCCTCGTTCCCATGATACATTGGAGACTTCGGATAAGGACAGAATGGTCAATGAATCTCAAAATTAAGGGGGGATTGGTCACAGAATTTTTGTATTTTGTTCACTGGTTAATTTACATCCCAGTGAGAGGAAGCCACGTTCCACGACGGGAAGTAATGATTTATTAGAGAAAATCAAACCTTTGATTTATGCCCGCATTCAATCTCACTCTTGTCACATAAACTAGTCATGGCTTAAAAAATAATTTGTACTATTTATTATGTGCGAATAATAAGACTATGGTAAATTATATTTCACACGCGCGAATAGATGCACAACGGCATCTTGGTTATAATCATTATCACTGTTATTTCCAGGGGCGTATATGGATATGGAGTCGTACTACTCACGAACCACAAATGATTGATTTGTCTGGAGTTCTGTAGAAACACATGAGATCTAATACACATCAATCATCGGTATATTATATTATTACACACTCCTTATTTATAAATTCACTTTATTCATAAACTGTGAATAATAATCCTTCTATTTTAAATTATAAAATATTTTTAAATAAAATCTTACATACCAATAAATTTACTTAAATATATTAAGTAATTTTATTTTTTTAAAATAAAATACTTTTTATTTAATATATTAAAAAGAAAATAAATAGAGACAAAAGTTAAAGATAGGGTAGTGTTGGAATAAGATATTTTTGAATAAAATCTCACACACTAATGATATAATTAAATACACTTAATAACTTTATTTTTTTAAAAATAAAAATATAAACTTTTAAAAATATCCTTTATTTAATATAATGAAGAGAGATAGAGACAATGATTAAATAGAAAGAGGTAGCATTGGACAAAGACATTTTTAGATAAAATTTTACATATCAATAAATTATATAAAATACATTTAACAACCTTAGTTTTTTAAAATAAAAATATAAAATTTTAAAAATACATTTCATTTAATATATTGAAAACAAATAGGGACAAAAATTAAATAAAAAGAGAGTAGTATTGCAATAAGTCTATTTAATGAAACTTTAATATGCTCAAAATGTCTTATAATTTGAGATAAAGGAGTATCACTTTTTATAACTATAACATGCTTGCTCTATTGTTTTTATTTGTGGGAGTTCATTTGCATAACATTTGTTCTCTAACACTGCTTTTGTTGATTTCTACCATGAGAGGGGCAATTGATGTGGGTGAGCATGTGATTGGTTTTTCATCTCTTTATGCCAGGGTGTCTTGTTTTCTCCTTCGACCTAAATTGCTAAGAAGGGAATGGGGATTCAACTGGCGTCGACGAGGCAAAGATTGTCCATCAAAAGGATTGAAGATTTATTCAATGGTTAATCGTGGGTTTTGACTTCTTGTAGGCAAAAAGGTATGAGGTTTTTTAAGTATGAATCTTGATGATTTTGGTTTGTTGTTAAGGGTCTCATCCTAGGCTTCTTAGTTCGATAGGCAATAGTTTGCAACAAAGATGGGGGTGCATTTTTGCAATGCTAGTAGCTAGTTTGTTGTCATTGCTAATGATTTTGGTTCTCTCTACATGGAATTTGATGCATGAAGGTGGTGAATGTGCTATTTGGATATCAGTTATTGTTCACAGAGGGACAGGATTGTTAGAATGATTCTATAAACCTCATCCTTACTTTTCAATGTGACTTCTATTCTTTTTGAGTTTTCATGGTAGCGATGGCATTTCTTGTTTTCTAGTTCTGTTTTAAAGCTTAAGATAGTCATGATGGTGTCATTTATTTTTTTTTCTTTGTGTTGTTTTGCATTTGATTTATAATTTTTTGTTGTGTTGTTTTTGATCTTATTTGTATTTTGTTTGTTGAATAGTATTTGTTTTTGTCAACCTTACAGTTGTCAGTAATATTTCATGTTTTCAAGGGTGAAAATGCTTACTCTGTATTGTTCTACATCCTACAATTCACTTTAATCATAAACGCTTGAACGTTTACAAGTTATATTTTTTAAACATTTCATAGGATAAGCTGGAATAGGTTGCATGTGCCAAGCAGGACTTTGAGGCCACAATCCAATTCCAAGCATGTGTGAGTAGATCCAAAAGAACAAAACCTAAAAGATATAATTAGCTAGGCATTTAGAGTATTAATTATTAGTTTGACAGAAAACATATAAACAAGTCTTCCTAGGCTAAGAATGTGTCCTTTGTGTAGATCCTAAAAACTCAGAATAAAAAAAAAGGAATTAGCCCTGTTAGGTTTTGATGAAGTTTTAGATGAGAAGGTCTACGATGAACTTGTATTGATGGAAATTGGAATTGTACAGGCCACTAAAGTCCAACCCTAACCATGAAGGTTCTTTAAACTAATCATTCTTTAATAATACTACCATTACTAATATTAATGATGCGAGCTTGTTAGTCCTTTTCATTTTCGACCATGGGCTTGTTGGTCCTTAAATACAAGTTTATAGTTAACATATGAGCAGGTTCTCGGTCTACAATGTTGTCTAGGTGTCCATGAAAGAACCGACAGATACTTGCCATGCTGAAATCAGGGTAGAGTTTGGTCCCGAACTTTACTTTGCTAGTGTTGTTGCTCAGTTAATGAATATTACACATGACTTTTATAAATATTGCATTTAAATTAAAGGGTTAGTGATTATTTTTATCCTTAAACTGTAAACAAAACAAAACTCAACTATAGGTTAATTCTATCTCTCAATTAAAAATTCCTTCCTCATCACCCTGATGTTAAAAAGATTTAACGTCTGTTAGTCATCAATGGATCTCACTATTTTTTAAATATTTTTATCAAGTTAAGGGTCGTTTTTGCCACTCAACTCAAATATTTTATAATAAAAAATATACTGTAAGGCCCACTAACGGTCAACTTATGATGAAAAACAATAGGGTGATAAAGAAGAAAATCTTTAAAGTTGAAAGTTAAAATTAAACCATAACTGACTTTAGGGCGTTTATGGTTTTTGTGTTCAATTCAAGAATAAAATTGACCCTTAACCGTAAATTAAATTAAAGGGGGTTAAGGGATAAAAATGTTTTGAAAATTTTCTAAAATACTAGATATTTTTACTTTTTAGATGGAATAAAGAGAACAATTTTATCAAGTTGTTAGTGCAATCGTTACTTTGATTTTTATTTTCTTGGCAGCCACATGATTTTTTTTTTAAAAAAACAAATACAAATTCAAGTGTTCGCCATAACTTGATTTGATCTAATCTAACTTCCTCAATAATGCTTCCCATCTTTGTCCTTTCTAAGCGTTGGTGAGAGAGTGCAAAGCTTGATTTTCTCTGTGTCATTTTGAATTATCTCCTTTAAATTGTTGGTCATGCTATTGCCATTGCTATAATGCAAAAAATATTTTATGACATTTAGTAGTGGGAACCTAAGACCCTATTTGATATAAAGGAATAGTGAGACCTAATTTAATATGTTTGGTATGAATAATTGAGGCTAGCATGGTATTTCTTAGTACCACTTAGATGGGATTGTTCAAACCCTCCTTCCTTAGGTATTGAGAAACCTGTCATGGGATTGAAAAAATGTGAGACAAAACTATCTTTGTTCATAATAATTTTTGACAAAAGTGCCCCTGTGAATTTTGTCAATGTCCATCGCAATACTAGTAGAACACTCATTCCCATTACTGGCCAAGTCCTCACTCCATCAATCTCCACCAGTCCATCAATCTACATCATCGATGAAGCCCTCACTATGTTGATCTCCACCATTTCGTCGATCTCCATCGCAGGCAAAGCCTCACTCTATTGATTTCTTCTAGTTTTTTACTTATTTTGGACGAGAAAATTGGCATTGATAACACTCATTTTGTTTGTTTTCTCCCTTTATTTTATGGGTTTTATACATTATTTTTATCTACTTTCTGTGAATTAAGGGGAAGTTAGATGGTTGTACAAAATTTTAAGAGTAGTGGACCATATAACCATTATTTTTTGTTTTTGTTTCGAAAGAAATTAAGCATCACCTTATGTAAAACCTCCATTTAAACACATAATTAGCCCACACTTGACCTTAAAATAGAACTACTATAGTAATTACAACTAATTTAATTAATAATAAAAGATATCATGGCATAAAATGATGAACTTTAGCTGTTTAAAAACTCATAAGGTTAAGTAAGCTAACCTTGTAAAGATAAAATCTTGTAAATCATTTAACCTCAAAACTAAGTTTAAAAGGTGATTTAACCATTATAAATCAAAGTGAAAAGTATTTGGGAAGTATGAAAACCATTTAGAGTTGAAAACAAGATCAAAATGGTCATTTTTGCTTAACAGAGGCACTTAGCAACGGGTAGTATAACATCCCAAGTTTTCCTATTAGTAATTATCAGTATTTTCAAAGGTAATTTGGTCAATTTAAATAAATTATTGATTTAGTGATGGTTATGGGAGACTGATATGGTTTTTGGATTCTTGAACAGCCTTAAAAGAGGGTTAGGTCGATGTTCAAGCAAGCCATGACATAGAAGAGAGTTTAAAATTTTGTGAGATGTTTTGTGCCATACGCCGCAGCAGGCGTGTTGATGCACTGCGGC